GCCGACCCCGAATATAAGCCGAGGCACCTAATTTTATCACAAAAAACTGGGAAAACGTATTGACTCGAGTATAAGCCGAAGATGGGAAATGCATCCACTATGGGTCAATTTCAAAATAAAAATAGATACCAATAAAATTACATTAATTTAGGCATCAGTAGCCTAAATGTTTCTGAATATTTACATAAAACTGTAATTTAAGATAAGACTGTCCAATTCTTATTAAACCATTATTCTAACCTCCTTCAATGTAAATGTACTTGTTATTAAAATAATTAAAATAATAAAATAATGAAAATGCAATAAAAACAGTAATAATAGAGTAAAATAATAAATGTAGTAGTAATAGGGTAAAATACTGTAAATGTAATAATAATAGTAATAAATCCTGGATGAAAGCTGTTTTGCCATTGACAGATCTGGCGTTCAACAGCACCACCTTCAATCCGGAGGGACCGCCATCCTGGTTACACCAATTTACCGTATCAGGAGACCGATTTGGAATTACTAATGTTGTTGCACGATCCCTAGGCCGAATTCGAGGTCTCCTTTTCCCGTATCTCCCCATCCCCACCACGACTTCTATGGGAGCTCCCCGGCCGACGGAACACCCTCCCTCCTCCATGACGCAATCAACATCCATAGCCGCCTCAGGCTGATATATGCGGTATACAAATAGAGTAAATAAAAAATAGCTTCAACCCATGCTTCACTGCTGGTTATTTGATTTGTTACAGGTTCAATTCGCCATAATTTTCCCTTCCATTCATTTCTTACCCTAACTCTGCTATTTCCAGAAGTCTCTAGTTCACTCCACTCCTTATCTCTGCTACAGTCAATTAGCAGAAGGGTTAACAAGTACCAGGGAATCGGAAGCAGCATGGATGGTAGATGTTCAATAGAATTACCCAAAGTTCTTAAAGTGCAAACAGGTAGTTGTATCAACCTCACAGATGGTAAAAGTGTTATTAAAGTGCAATAAGTTATCAAGTTGATTCTAAAGTGCTAAAATAAGGTGCGTCATGGAGGAACTACTGATTCAAGTGCTAGAAGACTAGAACACTGGGTTAAAGTGCTAAAGCTGAGCAGGATAATGGACCAATACAGTACAAGATAGTAAATTAAAGTGCTGGTAGATTAAAGTGCTGGAATTATGCAGATTAGCAGCACCATTCAATATGTTGGTAAGGATATTAAAGCATACAATTACAGGACAATGGACGACAGAAAAAGGATCAGAGGGTGGTTGATATTGGTCCTTCCGAGGATAGAATTAATGTCCGCGGTGGTGGTCGTCGGCCACAGCCGGTCAGCCCGATGGTAGGGGATGGACAACACAAATGGTCAACACAGTAAATTGAACAGCACAATCGGTCGGCACAGTAGATGGTTAGTTGGTCAACACACGTCAGGCAGCCTGAGTCGGTCAGCACAGCGTCGGTAACATACACGGTTTGGCCCCAGGAACCCCCAGGAAGAGTGTAGGCAAGATGCCAATCCACTAGGCCGCACCCGGGGCTCCGACCAGGAACCAGGCCGGCCAGGGGCAGACTTCAGTAACTGCATGGTATGGGGTTGGACTGGATGGCTATTGTGGATTAATTAGGTGTGTGTAGTCATGGCGCATGAGTATCAATTCCAACTCTCTTGTTGTATCTACACAGCACAATTAATGAAGTTCGATACCACTTGAACAACTATAGCTCAATGCTTACACTATCAAAAACCAGATTAACCCTGTAGATCAGTGTTTCTCAACCTGGGGGTCGGGACCCCTGTGGGGGTCGCGAGGGAGTGTCAGAGGGGTCACCAAAGACCACAAGAAAACAGTATTCTCTATTGGTCATGGGGGTTCTGTGTGGGAAGTTTGGTCGAATTCTATCATTGGTGGGGTTCAGAATGCTATTTCATTGTAGGTGAACTATAAATCCCAACAACTACAACTCCCAAATGTCAAGGTCTATTTTCCCCAAACTCCACCATTCACATTTGGGCATATTGAATATTCATGCCCAGTTAGGTCCAGATCCATCATTGTTTGAGTCCACAGTGCTCTCTGGATGTTAGTGAACTACAACTCCAAAACTCAAGGTCACTGCCCACCAAATCCTTCCAGTATTTTTTGTTGGTCGCAGGAGTTCTGTGTGCCAAGTTTGGTTCAATTCCTTCATTGGTGGAGTTCAGAATGCTCTCTGATTGTAGGTGAACTATAAATCCCAACAACTACAACTCCCAAATGTCAAGGTCTATTTTCCCCAAACTCCACCAATGTTCACATTTGGGCATATGGAATTTTTGTGTCAAGTTTGGTACAGATCCATCATTGTTTGAGTCCACAGTGCTCTCTGGATGTATGTGAACTACAACTCCAAAACTCAAAGTCAATGCCCTTCCAAACCCTTCCAGTACTTTTTTTGGTCATGGGAGTTCTGTGTGCCAAGTTTGGTTCAATTCCATCGTTGGTGGAGTTCAGAATGCTCTTTGATTGTAGGTGAACTATAAATCCCAGCAACTACAACTCCCAAATGACAAAATCAACCCCTCCAACCCCACCAGTAGTCAAATTTGGGCGTATTGGGTATTTGTGCCACGTTTAGTCCAGAGAATGAGAATACATCCTGCATATCAGATGTTTACATTATGATTCATAACAATAGCAAAATTACAGTTATGAAGTAGCAACGAAAATAATTTGATGGTTCGGGGTCGCCACAACATGGGGAACTGTACTAAGGGGTCATGGCATTAGGAAGGTTGAGAACCACTGCTGTAGATGAATGAATAAGGGAGCCTATGTATACTTCATCCCTAGTTTAAACCTCCCTGGAATGTTGTCTAGCCTTTCCCCACACCCTGGACCTCAGGGAATAGCCACACATTTCGCATAATCTCTTTACAATGCCCTGGAAAAGTCACAAGGCAACACACAGGTTTTCATAATATTTTTTGATTTTATCCTAGTAACATTTCCCCATCTATAGTATTGTACCAAACCCCCTTCCATGAGGTCTCCATTGTATATGGCAAGTTGGCAACACTTTTTTGTCTACCAGGCAGGGAACCATCATATTGACCAAAACAGATACATCAAAATCCATTTCAGCTCATTATCTCTTGCCGCACTATATTGCTTTTTGCTTGCACCCTTCTCCAAGGAGGATCAATAAATGGACACAAATTTTCAAAACAATCCAATGAAATATATTGTTGAAGGATTTCATGGTCGGAATCAATCACATCTAGCTCCAACAGACAAGAGTCCTTTGTCCCACCCTGGTCATTCCACAGATATATAAACCCATTTTCCTATTTCCAACAGACCTCACTACCTCTGAGGATGCTTGCCATAAATGCAGGTGAAACGTCAGGAGAGAATGCCTCTAGAACATGGTCATATAGCCCAAAAAAACCTACAACAACAAACCTAATGACAGCTTGTTAAATTTCTCACCACAACTAGAGGCAACCAGCAATGCAAATGAACAAAGCCCCAGACCAACCAACCAGGAAACTAGCTGGCCACATTTTGAACCAATCCAAAGTTAGTGTCACAATGTGCCTTTGTTTTGGAGAAAGTGCTATAACTATGTTTGCATCAAGGTTTGCCAATATTTGGAGCACAGACTCCAGTCCTCTCTGGTCATTGGGAATTAATATATCTGATTTTGCCTTGAGTCCATCAGTGTCTGATCTGGTCCTTTGGAAGCTTGGCACACCGGGTTGCGAACCCACGGTTTTAGTAGAGCTGAAATTACAATGGAATAATGGGAGTTTTAATTTGGGATGGTACCAAGCTCTTTGGCCTTGATCATGGTCATCAAGTTGGCAGATGACACCAAATTGGGAGGGATAGCCAATACTTCAGAGGACAGGAGCAGAGTTCAAAATGGTCTTAATAGAGTAGAGAAATGGGCCAAAACTAACAAAATGAAGTTCAACAGGGACAAATGCAAGATACTCCACTTAGGCAGAAAAAAAATGAAATGCAAAGATACAGAATGGGGGACAAGGCCTAGCTCGAGAGCAGGATGTGTGAAAAAGATCTTGGAGTCCTCGTGGACAACAAGTTAAACTTGAGCCAACAATGTCATGTGGCGGCAAAAAAAGCCAATGGGATTTTGGCCTGCATCAAGAGGAGTCATAGTGTCTAGATCCAGGGAAGTAATGCTACCCCTTTATTCTGCCTTGGTTAGACCACACCTGGAATATTGTGTCCAATTCTGGACACCACAATTGAAGGGAGATGTTGACTCTAAGCAGGAATGTGTCCAGAGGAAGGCAACTCAAAAAATCAAGGGTCTGGAGAACAAGCCCTATGAGTAGTGGTTTAAAGAGATGGGCATGTTTAGCCTGAAGAAGAGAAGGCTGAGAGGAGTCGTGATGAAGGTCTTGTATAAATATGTGAGAGGAAGTCATTGGGAGGAGGGAGCAAGCTTGTTCTCTGCTTCCCTGGAGACTAGGACGTAATGGAACAATAGCCTCAAACTACAAGAAAGGAGATTCCCCCTGAACATGAGGAAGAATTTCCTGACTGTGAGAGCTGTTCAGCAGTGGAACTCTTTGCGCGGAGTGTGATGGGGGCTCCTTCTTTGGGGGCTTTTAAACAGAGGCTGGATGGCCATCTGTCAGGGGTGATTTGAATGCAATTTTCCTGCTTCTTGGCAGAATGGGGTTGGACTGGATGGCCCATGAGGTCTCTTCAAACTCTAGGATTCCATGAGTCCATGATTCTTGCAAAACTATGACTCTCCTGGTCCCACAGTCATGGGCATTGAAGTGGTGTCCAACTACATTAAATCTCCAGTTTAGATGCAGAAGTATGAAACTGAAGTACCTCTGAAAGATGCACACAGAGGTTTTTAAAAGAAAGACAGCCTGCCATCCACCGAAGCAAGCTATTCCACAGTTAGGAGATCTTCCTCATGTTCAGGAGGAATCTCATTTCTTCTCATTCAAACTCTGGAACAGCAGAAAAGTAGCTGGCTCCATCTCCTACACAGCTCCCCATCAGATATGTAAACATTGCAGAAGTCCGAGTTACCCCAACCAGGACAGAAATCATCATCCTTGCCACCAGAACTCAGAATGTTCTGGGAGAAAAGGGACACCGTATCCGTGAACTGACAGCTGTTGTGCAGAAGTGGTTTGACTTTCTCGAAGGAAGTGGTGAGCTCTATGCAGAGAAGGTGGTCACAAGGGGACTGTGTGTGATTGCCCAAGCTGAGTCCTTGCATTACAAGCTTTTTTTGGGGGGGGGGCTCACAGTACGTAGGGGCTGTTATGGTGTCCTTCGCTTCATCATGGAGGGCGGAGCCAAGGGCTGTGAAGTTGTAGTTTCTGGCATGCTCCGAGGCCAGCAAGCCAAGTCCACGAAGTTTGTAGATGGTCTAATGATCCACAGCGGAGACCCCATCAACTACTATGTTGACACTGCTGTGTGCCGCGTTCTCCTTAGGCAGGGTGTGCTGGGCATTAAAGTCAAGATCATATTGCCCTGGGACCCGAGTGGGAAGATCGGCCCCAAGAAGCCCTTGCTGGACCATGTCAGCATTGTGGAGCCAAAGGAGGAGATCCTGCCCACCACCCCCATCTCGGAGCAGAAGCCAGAGCAGCCCCCCATGCCGCAGCCGGTCCCCACTGCCTAGAAGGGTTTTCCAGTGTCTGAAGGAAAGGACTTGATGTCTTTACAAATATCTCTTAATAAAATCTGGAAAAAGACAAACAAACAACATCACAGTTGTGCCACCTCTTCATCTCCTCTTCTCTAAGCTAAACCTCCCCAGCTCCCTGAGCCGTCCTCATAAGGCCTGATTTCCATAGGCTTGGTGCCCATAGTATCACTCGCGAAATCCAAGGCATGCCACGGTTGCTCAATGATAGGCAAATGCAGTGAATTTAGGGCATCTCTCAGATGCTACACCTGGCAAAAGGAGATCCTATCTCTGTGAATGATGATGTTTCCACCCGCACCACCTCCGCTCGCTTTTGAAAGTTGTACCAAGGCAGGAACGGCAGCTTCAGCTACCCAGATCTCAAAGGATGCCACCCGGGCATACTTTTCCCTACAAGATCAGATTCCTAGTTTAATGGAAGAGCTTTGATTCATGGCCAGTTTAGCAATAACAGCAATAGGTGTTCCGTGTGTTCCAAGGCTGGTATTCTCTTGAGATGTTCTGCTGATGGTAACTCCTGGTTGCATCATACATTGTCCAATTTTGCGGTCATTAATTGTCTTCATTTTGATTTTGATTTATGGATATCTTGTGGATGAAAGGTGCCCGTCACTAATGTCACTAATTAGTGCATCGTCACTAATGTCTCTCCTTAGATCTTGTACACCCAGGGCTGTGGCTTCTTTGACTGAATCAATCCACTTGTAGTGTAGCCTAAACGCTTGCAAAAACTGCATATTCAATGCCTTCATCTATTTATGCATCTACAGTGTAGAATTAATTCAGTCTAATACCACTTTAACCACCATAGCTCAATGCTATGGAATCAGGGGAACTGGAGGTTACAAGGTCTTTGGCCTTCTCTGCCAAATCGGGCGAGTGCATCACCAAACTACAACTCTCTCAATTCCACAGCATTGAATCATGGCAGTTAAAGTGGAATCAATCTGTGTTACTTCTACCATGCAGATGCACCTTAATGCATAACCAGGGAAGTCGTGTTGCCCCTCTAGTCTGCCTTGGTCAGACCACACCTGGAATTGCACTGTGTCCAGTTCTGGGCACCACAATTGAAGGGAGATGTTGGCAAGCTGGAGGTGACTAAAATGATCAAGGGTCTGGAGAACAAGCCCTATGAGGAGCAGCTTAAAGAGCTGGGCATGTTTAGCCTGCAGAAGAGAAGGCTGAGGGGAGACATGATGGCCATGTATAAATATGTGAGAGGAAGTCATACGGAGGAGGGAGCAAGCTTGTTTTCTGCTTCCCTGGAGACTAGTACGCGGAACAATGGCTTCAAACTACAAGAAAGAAGATTCCATCTGAACATGAGAAGAACTTCCTGACTGTGAGAGCCGTTCAGCAATGGAACTCTCTGCCCTGGAGTGTGGTGGAGGCTATAGAATCATAGAATCAAAGAGTGGGAAGAGACCTCCTGGGCCATCCAGTCCAACCCCATTCTGCCAAGAAGCTGGAATATTGCATTCAAATCACCCCTGGCAGATGGCCATCCAGCCTCTGTTTAAAAGCTTCCAAAGAAGGAGCCTCCACCACACTCCGGGGCAGAAAGTTCCACTGCTGAACGGCTCTCACAGTCAGGAAGTTCTTCCTCATGTTCAGATGGAATCTCCTTTCTTGTAGTTTGAAGCCATTGTTCCGCGTCCTAGTCTCCAGGGAAGCAAAAAACAAGCTTGCTCCCTCCTCCCTGTGGCTTCCTCTCACATATTTAAATGTAGCCCTCATCATGTCTTCTCTCAGCCTTCTCTTCTGAAGGCTAAACATGCCCCACTCTTTAAGCCGCTCCTCATAGGGCTTGTTCTCCAATCCCTTGATCATTTCAGTCACCCTCCTCTGGACACTTTCCAGCTTGTCGACATCTCCCTTCAATTGTGGTGCTTTTAAACAAAGGCTGGATGGCCATCTGTCTGGGGTGGGTGGGTGCTTTTCCTGTTTCTTGGCAGAATGGGGTTGGACTGGATGGCCCACGAGGTCTCTTCCAACTCAAGGATTCTATCATGATTCTATGATTCTATAAGTCCGTCATTCTGAATCCACAGAAGGCAGTTTGCTTGTTTATTTCCTCAAAATGTCATTCTTTCAGATTCCACTCTCCTCTAGAAGAGAAACTTCCATTTCTAGTGTACACAAACACACAAGAACAGAACCCTGGAGTGATTTTGGCCTGTACATCACCCGCATGCAATGTTCTCTTCTTTTAGGCTGTTTTAGGATGATGTTGTTGTGGTTGTTTCCTAGTAAAACCAAAACAAACCAGACCCACCTGATCGGAGACAAGCTGCAACAAATTACATGAATAAGTCACACGCAAGGAAAATAAAAACAGATACATCGAAGAACCCTCTGCCTGCAAGAATACACAACTGATGCCCTCCCAAGAGATGCTACAGAAACAGCATTGGAAGGACAATCCAGCCCAACTCCCTTCTACCAGGCAGGAAGGCACAATTCAAGCCCTCCAGACAGAGGGCCACCCAGCCTTTATTTAAAATCCTCTGGAGAAGGAGACTCCATCAGACTCCCATGCAGCAGGTCCCACTTTCAAACAGGGACACCTGCTTAATGATTAAGTGGAACCTCTTTTCCTGTAGTTTGAAATGGTTCCTGGAGCAGCAAAAATCAGGCTAGCTCCATCTTCAACATGACATCCTTCCAAATATTTGAACATGGCTATCATTAGGTTGCTGTGAGTTTTCCGGGCTTGTGCAGGTACAACTGCACCAGGAGCTCCAATTTTGTTTGCTTTGCATTTAATGTTTGTTGTAGTCCTAAGTTTCAGGGACTCTGCAGATAGGTGGCTTCTTTTGGCTGCAATCATAGGGCAAGCCACCTGCCAATTATAGTTAGGTTCCCTGGTCCCGCCCCCTTTTGGTTTTTTGGAGGGAAAAGGAGCCAGTTTGGGTTCTATCCACACAGAGAAGCTTTTCATGCCAGACATAATACCAAGAGTTCCTGTAGAAAACTTCATCATCTTCTAGGGCTTGGCAGGGGAGATATACAGCCTGACCGGGGTTGTACAGCCTTACAGCTCCTTTGGTGAAGGACTTCATTCAGCTATCACGGAAACCTGAGTTCTTTCCCCCTGGAAGTCTACAAAGCTCTGCTTGGTAAGGGTCACTCGCGGAAGACAGAAGCAGTTGGTACCGGGTGCAGGGGCTCCACGCCAACAGAGGCAAAGGCAGACTGCCCAGATTAGAAGTTAAGGATTTCCCCATTAGTTACAGTTAAGAAGATAGTGCCTGTTCCCTGTGGACAAGATTGAGAGAGAGCCAATAGACTGTTAAGAAAGCCTTAAAGTACCTGTTTGTTTTCATTAATAAAGAACTTTGTTGAACCTTTAAGCAATCGAAAGACTCTGTTTTAAGGAAATCCAAAGGCCTTTAATCTGAAGCAGCCCCGGCGTCCCGTTGGACACACGGAATTTATATCCTGTCTACAGTCTTATGTGCAGGCCTATCATGCGACAGCACAGGGCTGTATGGCCATGTTCCAGAAGCATCCTCTCCTGATGTTCCTGAATGCTTCTGGAACATGGCCAGACAATCCGGAAAACTCACAGCATGGCTATCACTTTTCCTCTTCATCTTCTCTTCCTCAAGCTAAACATTCCCAGCTCCTTAAGTTGCTCCTCATAGGGACTCCTGGTTTCCAGGTCTTTGACCATTTTGGTGGCCCTTCTCTGGACACCTTCCAGCTTCCCAATCTTCTCTTGGAATTGCTTTTCCCAGAACTGGACATGGGGTTATTCCAGGTGAGAAGGTCTGCCCAAAGCAGAAGAGAGTCTGGACACGAGATTCAGCCTGGAATTGCATTGGCTTTATTACTTGTGGCAACATATTGTTGACTCATGTTCAGCTTTGGTCTACTATGATTCTTAGATCTCTTTCAAATCATCAAAGGGAGTCTTGGCTACCATGTAATCTTCTAACCTTCATGTCTTCAGGGTAATTACACACCTTGAAAGATGGTGAAGAACTGTCCTCCAAGGCAATCCATCCCACTGTCAGGCAGTTCTTACAGTTGGAAAGTTCTTCCTGATGTTTAGGTAGAATCTCTTCTCCTGGAAGCAGCAGAGAACAACGCAGCTCCATCTTCAAAGTAACATCCTTCACATGTTTAAATATGGCCTTCGTGTCCCATCTTGGCCTTCTCTTCTCCAGGCAAACTGTTGGAAACTCTACCACCTCCAAAGGCAGTCCATCCCACCAACAAGCAGCCCTGGAAAGTTCTTCTTCATGTTTAGGTGGGATCTCATTTCTTGTCATTTTAGTGCATTGGTCCACACTTCAGAATTTGGAGCAGCAGAGAACAAGGCTGCTCCATCTTCAATGTAACGTCCTTCACATGCTTAAATATGGCCTTCGTGTCCCATCTTGGCCTTCTCTTCTCCAGATGAACCATTGGAAACTCTACCATCTCCAAAGGCAGTCCATCCCACCATCAAGCAGCTCTGGAAAGTTCTTCATGTTTAGGTGGGATCTCATTTCTTGTCATTTGAATGCAGTGGTCCACACTTCAGTCTCTGGATCAGCAGAGAACAAGGCTGCTCTTACATCTTCAATGTAACATCCTTCACATGCTTAAATATGGCCTTCGTGACCCCTCTTGGCCTTCGCTTTTCCAGGTGAACCATTGGAAACTCTACCATCTCCAAAGGAAATCCATTCCACTGTCAAGTGGTTCTTACAGTCGGAAAGTTCTTCCTGATGCTTAGGTGTCCATGGCTCCATTGTGTCTTTGTCTCTGGAGCAGCAGAGAACAAGGCTGCTCCATCTTCAACGTGACCTCCTTCACATGTTTAAATATGGCCTTCATGTCCTCTCTTGGGCTTCTCTTCTCCAGGTGAACCATTGGAAACTCTACCATCTCCAAAGGCAGTCCATCCCACCATCAAGCAGCTCTGGAAAGTTCTTCTTCATGTTTAGGTGGGATCTCATTTCTTGTAATTTGAATGCAGTGGTCCGCACTTCAGTTGCTGG